GAACCTATTGCAATAAAACGGCAATTTCATACTTTAACCCCTAATATTATAGTAATATGGTGCAGTAAAAAATGAATTGCATGCAATTTCTTTTCTAATTGTCTAGAATTTAGTTCTCTTTTCACCGGTAAGGGCGTTGTACAATTTGCTAGAGAAGAAAAAGAGAATTATCAAATATTTCATCGCTAGCGACAACTGTCACTAAAATAAATTGTAAATAAATAAATAATAATAAATAAATTTAAATAATTGTAAATAAATTGTAAAAATAAACTGTAAATTGATGGTAGAGAAACTGAACAAAAGATTTTTTTATTTAGGAAATGAAACTATTTTTCCGGATTTAAATCGCGTATATTTGTTTTTTCAAACAAACCGTTGTTACGGGCCCTTTACAGGTCCCATGGTCACGGTTAACTGAAGTGGTACTTCACGTACATTTAACCGTGACCATGGGACCTGTAAAGGGCCCGAAACGTCGGTTTGTTTTAGATTTAAGTACGGAAAAATAGTTTCATCTCCTATGTGTAACAATCGCGAAAACCTAAGAACTCGATTTTTTTATTTTTAATATTTTTATTATACACTAAGTATTTTTATTTAATAAACCAGATGCTAAATAAATGACGCAAACAATTTTTTTCTCCACCTGTAAAGTCAATGTAAAGTTGTTAAAATTGAGATAGTACCAGTGGCCAGTTCACAGTCGATATTATATAAAAAATATATTACTAAACCTCCCCGTGTAAGAGCGAAATCCTAATCAGGGTTAACACAAAAATTACTTACCAAGCTGGATCAATTCCGTCGCCCACGTTAAGTTGGTAGGATCCAAGTGAGCAGCGAGTGTGGCGGCCGCGAGTCGACATCCTGTCAAAAAGAGGCAATGCAAAGAACATCTACAACTTACTGTAGTGAAGTATAAAATGCCTACAGAGATTATTAAACAAAAGCTATGCGTTTACTTCTTCTTTAAAGCCTTGTGGTTTTACATTTGCTAATATAAATTTTGTTAATAAGTAAAACTGACGAAAACAATATGGAGACAAGCAAAATACTGTTTACCAAATTGAGATTACGATAATTATCATAAGACCACGTAATTGGTCATAAACTCATGATTGGTTAATTTGTATTTTTCAAAGCTACGCAATTGGTCAGTTTCCATGGGATATAATCGGTGGAACTAATTATCCTAAAGTCAGTACGCTTGTGTATTCACGTCGTGCACACTGGTTTTCATGGTGTCAACATCTCTAATGTCCCGGGTTCGAACCCCGGCTATGTATAAAAACTAAATTTTCAATATTGTTTTTTTAGCCCCGCACTGGGAACACCCTGTATCACGGGCGCCAAGGACACACAGACAACTACAAATTATACCCAAACTCTCGAGAGTAATAAATGTAGGTCATACAAATATTTCTCCCGGCCCGGGAATCGACCAGGACCTCCGCGTGGCTGTCCAGCATGGTAACCGTTCGGCCACGGAGGCAGTCTCGGGTCTGGGTGCTTGTGGTCCGTCGTTGTGTAGGATTTCAATAACGCAAGTGCTTTTGTTACTTACTTTGGGATCGGAGCAACATACGTTGTCTAATACAATAAAGGAAAAAATATAGTACCGTCGTTGTGAGCGGCGGCAAGTCGCTGGACAAGGTGGTCGCGCAACGCCGTGCGATCGACAGGCCGCGCCCACCGCGACCACAGCGTAAGCAGCTCCAACGTCAGCGGCATCAGACGGGAGTCACGCGTTTGCTACAACAGTTTTGCCAGTTTAACAAGTGACTTTGAACACCCCAGCACACTTCACGGAACACTACTAAATCTTTTATTACACTTGGTAAGAGCGGTGGCCCCGGTGTGGCAATGGACACTGGTTCGACTCTAGTCAGACCGAAGGAATTTTTTTTGTGTTTTTCGATCCCTGTATTAATAATAATAACAAACTATTAAACAGGACTGTATAAAAAATAATAATATCATGGTAGATTTATCACCCAGTTAGTACCTTTACAGCTACCAGTCCTGGCGAGAGATGTCGCTAGTCGCTGTATTTTAAATTTTTATTGAATTGATATCCAATTATTTTTGTGAAATTACTCCACTAGTTAGTTTGTTATAATTAATAATACAAAGATCGACCACTCAGAAAAAAATCCTTCGATCCGGCCGGATTTGAACCGACGTCTCCTAGCGTACCGTGTCATAGATTTCTCATAGATGGCGCTACGACTATAAAGTCGTTGAAAAACCAAATACAAACACACGACGCAAGCACATAGAAAAATTCGTGAGGCTGGTTGATTCCGTGGCTTAGTTGGTATAACGTCTGGCACGGTAAGCTAGAAGCCGTCGGTTCGAATTCGGCCGGATCGAAGGATTTTTTTCTGAGTGTTCGATCTTTGTATTAATAATTATAATATCATGGTAGTCAAAACATTATGATATTAAATAAAATAAAAATTGCACTAGTTACATAACCCAAAATAATGCAGTGTTTTCTTCAAAAATGTTGTGCTATTTAATTGCTACTTTATGTCTAATTCTTATTTATTTAAATATAAACATTACTACTTTGTTTTTGTTCAGTTTAATGTGCCAGTGTGTGTATTTGGTGATAATTGATTTAATGCTGAAAAGAGGGCCGAGTAAGTTTTGTCAAGAATCCCTAAGATTCAGTCTGTCTTATGAAGACGGTTGATAGTATTTTTTTTTTTTGTATAAAATAAGTTGACAAGTCCCATGTGCCTGTAATTTCACCAGCACCCTTACCCTTCAAAATCTCATATTACTACTTGGCGGTAGAAATAAGTAAGCTAGATTGAAACTTGTTACAAATTCTTGTTATTGGGATCAATACATAAGCAATAGTCCTTTATTTTTTAATCGAATAATTGTTTTTCTACACATAAGTTGGAATAATACCGCAGCTTGTCTTTGCACGATTTTTAAAAATGTCGTAAAAGATAATACATAGTAGACAGAATTAAAAAAACTACCTCAAAAATTTATGGAACCACATCTATGTGTCAAGTTTTATTAACGGAAATGGGTTAAATTTAATACACCGTTTTCAACCTCTAATTTGTCACCCTCAGAAGTGGAATATTTTCTTCTCTTCCCAACAAAAGAATCATCAAAATCGGTTCACAAATAAGCCGGAGTAAGCGCGTAAAATACACACACAAAAAGTCAAATTGAGAAGTTCCTTCCATTTCTGAGGTCGTTTAAAAACATGTCAATTAAAGAATTGGAACCTATCGAAGAATAGTCCACGTTACCTGGTCATCATTTGCAAGGTGATAGTAATACTGCAGCAGAAACCCGATGTCGTTGCAGTCGAGGTGTCGCGCGGCGCTGGTGAGCAGCACAAGTACGTGCAGATCCCGAACCTCGTTCACCGCGCCCATGTGCGTGCTGACCACGTCTACTACGCGATGGCTGAGGGGTAACACACGACCAATGACTGATTAATATTTGTGGCCTAGCGGTTAGCACTGTGGGCGCTAGACGAGAAGGTATAATTTCGGAATCAAACATTTCAAAATTGGTTCTAGGACGGGAGTCATCGGTAGTAACCGGGTGTTCAATTCGTTACTCGGGTACCGATATTACAGGACACGTGTGTGACATATAAAAAAGTTATATACCATTTTTCTCTCTATTTTTAATAATGTCTGTTACCGACCCGGCAGGCCACATACTAAATACTCTGTTTTTGACGTAAACAATAAATATTCGAATAATGTTCTGTTACTAACAATATACTTAGATTTATTTTAGAAAATAATATAAAAATTTAGCTGTTGTAATAATAATATAACATTTATCCTATACTTATATCAATTGTTTATTTATACCTCATAGTTCCTGGCCTGATCCTTATTACACTCTATCTCTATTTCTCTAACACCGTTTCCAAATTTAATTACTATGATATTTTAAGTTTCCCCGTTTTAAAAAACAGTCAAAAACCTTGTAAGTGGCTGAAACACTAACCGCGAAAAGCCAATAAAAATAAGAAAAAAATGTCCCTGCAAATAGCGTTGGTTTTTCTATTCATCATGATATTATTCTCTCGCACACATAAATGATCAGGTAATTAACGTAATTGATTTATAAAAATCGAACATTCAATCTTGAGCATCTATTTCCGAGTATGAAGTGAATATTCAAGGTTGGTTATTGGCTTTACTATATCGTACCTAATACAAGTGGTTTTGTTAGCGAGCAGCAGGCAGGCCTTCTGCAGATGACGCCGCATGTTGTGGCGAGTGACCGCAGAGAGGAACATCCATGGGTGCTGGTCCTCGGGTAGCCCCTGTACGTGTTTCTGCAGTCGATCTATCAGAAGGTGCTGCACTAGCGACATCACTTGGTCTTGAATCTGCAGAGTCAGTAGCGTTTGAAAATGGTGCAATATAATTTTAATACATTGATTTTGTGTATGCCTGATTCAGTAAGTGATTATTGTGTATTGTGTGAGTGAGTGGGTGTTTAAAAAAGTACTGAATCGACAAGACAAGAAATACATAGATCGATTAACACAATGAAACCTGCGATCTGACTAGACTCGAACCAGCGTCTGTTGCTATGCCAGGGCAACCGCTCTTTACCAACTGAGCTACGGACCGAATCAGCAGACCTTACGAATTTGTCTATGCGTTTACAGATCTTTGTATTGTCGTCAGCGCCACCTGTGAGACACTTTTTGAAGTTTCTTCACTCAGCTTTGTAAGTTTGCAGCTACTGGTGGCTAAAGCTTCAAGTAGCAAAACATTACGAAATTCAATAAAATAATATTGCAAGAATACTTCACTAAAAAAGGGGGTTTTGATTTAGTGTTACTTCTAGTCTGACTACGAACATTTTAAAATAATTTTCTTGTTTATACCTTAGTCTCAGGATCTGACAACTGATGCATGGGTCCGGAAAGAAAGGCGTCAAAGACGGCATCACACGGTCGCTGAATCGCTAACTCGCCGAGAGCAGTGATCGCTCCTGTACGCACTATAATGCTCGCATCACGGCACAACCCTACTAGAATCTAAAAAATATAATATGATTATGTATTAAGACTGACTTTGACTGTATTTGCAAAACATAAACAATTATTTTAAACTTCATTGGTTTTGTACAAATGATATAATCGAATACGAACTTTATTTTATTAGCTCTAACTGTCACATTGCCAACAATGCCTCCCTCCTTTGTTGCCCCTTCACCTGGCATAACGTTCCCAAACTCGTCCCGTTCCTTTCCAAATACATTTAACTCATCTCCCCATATATCGCATTGTCTTCTCCATACGTCGTCGATAGAAAAATATTAGATAGCCACCACGCTTGTCGAAGCGGAATCAGCTTGAGGCGATCAGTGTCGCCTTTACATATGGTGCAAGGTCTTGGGGTTCACGAAAGGAGTCTCCCTGCACGATGTACCATTCCTTTCCTCTACGTCTGGCGCATCATGGGAATCGGAATAGCACATCCTTTCCTACGATGGCAAACATTATAGTGTATGCCATCAATACGAAAAAAAGAAGAAGCGGCGGAATAGTGCCGCTTGCGACCCGCGAAGCGTAGTAAAAGGGGTAATGCTCCCCAACATCATTTATAATTGTGCCATTTGCACCTGGCTCTCAGACCATTAGACAAAAATTATAACTGTGAGTGACCGAACAGTTACCATCCTGAACTGCCACGCAGAGGTCCCGGGTTAAATTCCCCGGCCGGGAGAAATATTTGTATGGCTTACATTTATTTCTCTCCTGAGTTTGGATGTAATTTGTGGTTGTCTATGTGATATACAGTATACAGGGTTTCCCTAGTGCGGGGTTATGAGTGTGTGCGTTATTATTATTTTGATCGCGTGCCTACTAGAGGACGCCAGGGTGTTGATTGCACTCGGGCGCTACATGGGCTAGCGTCAGCGCTGGAGGCGATCATGTTTTACTACACTTGTAGCATTAAGTCGATTCACCGTCGACACGGTCGTTTAGCCATCGTCTTGGATCATGGTATATGAAATCTGGACTTCGGAATCGCTCGGCCGTCAACGCGGTGGAAGCGGATGCATTGCCGACCTGTATCGAGCGTCATACAAACCGTTACGCAGCGTCTTTCTTGCATAACATGGAGATAAAACTAATTCTGACAGGTTTCATGCGATTCCGTGTTGATAACTATGATTATTCTTTTAACCTGTATTTTTTCTGCAACGGCTCTAATTTGAATATTCTTGTTAAGTATATTCATATTAGAGATTATTTTATGTTTGTTATGTTCTTCTTTGACTTAGGAGAATGGAATTAATATAAGGTGGAAATTCATAACATGTCACATCACTATAAGAGTTGGCGTCTAGGGAATGAAACTAGTTTTCGTCAGTAGCAGTAAAAAGGTTAAAATCGGGCGGGTGTGTAAAGGTAGACTATTGGCGACTGCATCGCTACTGCATCGCGTTTGCATTGCTGCTAAAAGTCGCCGTTCGTAACCGCTCTAACAGTTATTATTATTATAGCTTTACTAGAAAAAAAGACCACATATAATAACCGTCACGATTTAGTTTTTGGTTGAAGTTAGATTATATATTGAGTTTCTTTGTTATTTTCTTAACTATTAGCTTTTTAGCCGTTGCTCAATAGATAAATAATAATAATTACCCCAAGGTCGTTGGGGTCAGGCGTCGGCGAATCTTGCTTGACCAGCGAGCGGTGGACGAGCGCGAGAGCTGCTCGACGGACGGCTGCGCGCTCGTCGCACACGCACCGAGCCGCCAGCGCCAACAGCCGCGACACCGGTCCCGTCCCGTTCAACTCCTGTTCGCCACCAGACATCATAGCTCGATTTATGCTTAAGTCGTTTTGCTCCACTGTGGCAACAATTATTTATTAAAACTGTAGTTACTCGTTGACCTTGGAATGCCACCGTTTGTTTATATTGACGCTCAAATAGCTAATATAAAGGTGGTGATTGACCAGTTAGTTTCAGCGTAATAGCGTAACACATTACAATGTGAGTATTCATATCGTCGGTACAGCGATAGTGAAGTAGCAGTAGAGTTCGTCCTGGGAATTACTGCCACCTTACCTATTTCTGCCGTCAACGTTCATATGTTCCGATTTAGAAGGGTAAGGTTACTGGTGAAATTCCAGGCACATGGGACTTGTCAATTTATGTGTCAAGGTGACAGGCGCAGTGGCAGTGCCCGTAAGATCTTTGCGATTTAAGCTCTGAGTGGCACTGCTACTGTTATGGTTAGGCGTGTCTTACCACCAGGCGCACGACTTGTTCGTCCCGTTACTTGGTATTATAAAAAAATAGCGAACTCAACAGCTCGCTGCGAGACAGCACGTGCTCCACTCAGTTGTCGGTTTTTTGACGAATCCCTTTGAGTTCTAAACGAGTTGTAGTGGACTGTATCAAGGAGTTCGGACGGGTGTTAACAACGAGTAAGCATGACCAAAGCAAATGTACTTCAAGTTTATTAATTTACTACAAAAACACGTACAGCTATCAATCCATAAACAGAAACAAAGTAAAGAAAAGGCGCCAAAAACAATCACATTTAAATTTAGAATTTAAGTATAAAACAAACTTAGAAAGACTATAAAATATACATATGTATATCCAAAAAAGATTTGTAACGACTGCTGCCATTCACTGCACGAGTAATGACACAGACCATTCGGCAAATGTAGTAACATATCCAGCTCGCCCCGAATGTTACATTACGTTAAGATTCAGATCCAGTCCAACCACGTATATTATTGATTATATTAATTTCTTGTACAAATTAGTTTGTAAAATTCTGCAACATGTCGAGATCTAACTATTCAGTTTTTACGCAATAGATCAATTCTAACAAAATAAAATTTTGCTGGCTTGATATGTTACTGGCCGTACAAAGACGATGTATTGTGTGATGAGAAAGTAACTTGTTTTTATTACATCAAGTAACGGGACCAGTAAGTCGTACGCCTGGTGGTAAGCGACACACCTACCCATAACAGCTACAGTGCCACATACGAGGTATACAATAGCACAAAACTGAGAGGTTCTACAACTCCGCCCGTCACCCTAAGTCTCATGTGTCTGTAATTTCACCTGTACCCGTACTTTTCAAAGCCGGAACGGAATAATGCTCACATCATTACTCAGCGACAGAAACAAGTATGGTGTCAGTACTTCCCTTGACGAACTCCGTACGAGCACTTTCTACGTCTTTGTGCATTTAAAGCTATTTTCACTTGCTAACTATTTAATAGTCATCTATTAAATAGTTAGCTAAAGTTAGTACGAAATAAACTGTCAAAACGAACTCACGTATTTCTGCTCAACACAACATTTCCTTTCTACAAAATAACATCGCTTATTCCCAGTCGTCACTACTGGCTTTGTTCCCACTGGCGACAAATGGAAAAAAAAACCACGTGTTACCAGCAGGGCTAGCACGAGAGGGCGCAACTTGCACGAGAGGGCGCAACTTGCGCGAGAGCGACATGCGAGATCTCTATGCGAGAAAAGCAGTATCCTGCTCTTTATGTCGCTGTCACGTAAGTTGCGCCCTTTCATGCTCGCCCTACAAGTGGTGATAAACATAATAAGACATAATAAGAATTGAAAAACAAAAACATATGTTATCGAGTGGTGACAAATCGGATAAAAAGATCTGTTGTTGCCAGTGGTAACAAATGGAATAAAAAATCCCAATGAATGTTTGTTTATTGCCGCCATCGAAAGGGAATAAAGTATAATTCGAGTTTAATGATAAAAATCCACACGACATAATCAACAGAAGACCTTGAACACATCTTAATATCATCATGAATAAAGGAAAATTTTCAAGTATCACTTACGCCGTCCTATATCCGCCCGTTCGAATGATAGGCGTAAAAACGAGAAAAGAATGTTAGGATTCCAGAAGTATTGTAAATTAATATTTAAATGTTAAAAAACAATAAATAAATTCTTTACCTTGCGGTATGATTACTTGGTGAACCCAGTGAAGGTTAAATCGTGCAAAGTAGCGGCGTTTGTGTTGATTTTTTATGCAGTTAATTCACATATACATATTTTAGATTCCCATTCTCGTGAAATTTTATATTTTGCGAGAAAAAGGATTATGTTTGGGTCTTTTAGAACAGATGGAAAGAATTAGATAAAACAATAGAGAATATATATAATAAATAAACAATGGAATGTTGCGTCTTCACCTTTATTGCAGGTACTTTCAAACGATAACGATGGTTATAGTAGGGGTAATTGGCATAAAAAACCAACCGTCCTAAGCGAACTCATTTTTCGGCCGAGGTTCGAACAATTAACGACTCCTGAGGATGCCTCGTAGAAAGACGAAACACGTGTCGTGTATATTGCAGATGGCGGTGTCTGCGACTGCAGTTGCGATTATGTTATTAATTTTATGAGTGAGAAAATTAACTCCAGGACAAAAAATCAACACAAGCCCAGCATTTTCCACAATTTAACCTTCACGGGATTCGCGGAGTAACAAATTAATTTACTTGCTTATTAATTTATTATTATTTATTAATTATTAATTAATTTACATTTTTGTTAAGAAACAGTATCAAGCACAGGATGTGATCAGAGAACACTCGGACGTGAACGGAGAGCATACCTGTATGGCATCGCTGAGAGACGCCTCGTGCGTGAGTAAGCAGTCGGAGAGGATGGCCAGCGCGCGCGCGCGCAGCGTGCTGGACACGTCGCCCACGCGCTCGTACAGCGCGCGCACGATCTCGCCGTGCGGCACCGTGTGCGCGCGCTGCCGCAGCAGCCCGGCCGCGTCGTCTTCCGTCAGGTCTATCTCGGCCTCCTGGACACGTTTCAATAAAATAAACTTAGAAGGGAGGACTTGTCTTCACAACCCGCCGTTTCGGACTGATGAAACTACGAATTCATAGCGTGTACAGTTGTAAATCAATTTTAAACTTTCACGATTTTCGCACATTGTTTGAACCCGGTGGGACTCTAACCAACTGAACGTGTATAAATATATTTTATTTACCGCGACGTTCCGTACGTGTTCGATTAAGTCCCGATATTGAACTCAGATAATTGATAGTGTATGCTTGTGACGTTAACGATTAAGTTGAACGCCGGGGAGTAGCGACGGATCGATACGATTATCGTAACGAATGATCAAAACGAGGAATCGTCTGTATATACAATATCAAAGTACATCAGGATAAATAGGTGCTAGTACAGTGTGAGAGACTTCATGGACTCTCCTATAAAATGATGTGATAACTTTAGAACTGTTCCACAATGCAACTTATACACTTTGCCTATAGACTTATACGATTTTAGTTCTGTTTTAAGTACTTTAATGTCTATGTTTGCTTTTGTTAACTATTAGAGAGTACTAATTATTTACTACACCCAAACGGGGTATGTTTCTACTTAGTAATTACCGTTTAATGCCTGTACCTATCATAATAACTCTTTATTGCACAAAGAAAAGATACATGAAACACAAGTTATAAAGCACATATACAAAGGTGAGCTTATCTCTAGAAAAGATCTCTTCCAGCCAACCCTAGCCTAGTTGAAAAATGAAGTCTGCGGGACTAATTATTGTACAATAAAAATAAAATTATATATAAAGGATGATAATATATACATATGACAGACATACACACCTACATGAACCTTATATACATAAATACATACATAACCAGTATATATATTATAATCTAAACAAATTACTAGTTTATAATATATGTTACCGATTAGGTATCTAACGCGTTCGACAGGCTGTGCTCTTATAATTTGTTTTGAAACATGCCACCCATGGACTGTCACGAATGCCAGCAGGCAGTTTAATCCACATATGAGTTGCTCTTACCGTGAAAGAGTTGTGGAAGAATTTCGAGTTGGATTGGGGATTTATTAGTGACCTAGTGTCACAGGTACGTTTTGGGTAATAAATAAATAAGTATAAGTCTCAAGTAAATATACTCTTAGTCGTACTTATATTAACTATGAATTTTTTTTCTAAAATAAAGTATTATTATTAATCCTGAAGCGAGTAGCAAATGCGTCAGATGTCAAATTCGTAATTTTGTCTTCACCATTGTAATGCACTAACCACTGTTGGCGTTTCCTGCCGAACGCGAGGTTCCATTTTGACATTTACGGGTGGACTCTGCCCATCAGCAGGTGCTTCATTTGTTTCTTGATTTTCATTCTCGTTGGCTGGTTGCTCACTCTCTTCGGTAACTGTAGCATCTGTGGGACAGATTAATCATAATTATATTGAATTCGGTAAAAGGTTTTTGGAGTTACGGTTTTTACACAAATTGAATTTTAGTAGCAGTAGAGCTCCTTGTGAATGAGTTCGTCCAGGGAAGTACTACCACCTTACCTATTTCTGCCGCCAAGCAGTAACGTCAGCGTTACTGTGTCCCCGTTTTGAAGGGTGGTGGTGAAATTCAAATGCCTACATGGGACTTGTCAACTTGTCTCAGGGTAACGGACGCAGTGGTAGTGCCCCTCAGATCTTTGCAATTTTAAACTTGTTCATCCCGTCACTTGATTTTATAAAAAAAAATTCAAGTATAGTTAAATTTTGAGTTCCAGATTATTTGTTACCTGTTTAACCTGATGGCTCCATAGTTAATGCTCAATAAATAAATAATATAAATGCATTAATTTAATGATGAAATTCGTTATAAAATTATTTTTCAATCTTTTATAATTTTTTTCATAATCTTTAATTTGGGCTTTCATTAAACCCCAAAACCAAAGACCTACAACAAGTAAATAGAAAAATTCGTAAGGTCTGCTAGTTCATTAGATCCGTTAGGAGAGTGTCAGACACGTTATGTTGAAGGCGCTGTTTCGAATCCAGCCGGATCGAAGAAACTTTTTAGTGTTCGATCTTTGTGTTAATAATCATACCAAACTGTGGAGTCACATTTTTCAGATTTCACAAAAAATAAACTCAATAAACTTAAAATTGCAAACTATTTTTCCCCAAATTCATACCTGGGGGAGTCTGTTCAGATTGTTGTGGTTCAGATTCCTCTGGGTCATTTTCATTACATAACAGTTTAGACAGCATTTCCTGGAACCAAAATTATTGTGTTTTGGGTATTGTTTCCTTATTTGAGAGCACGAGATTGTGTGACAAGAAAAGAAAAGAAACCAGTAAAAAAGCTCTATGTTCAGGCCACACAGAAGCGGCCGCGGAAGCGTTCCGTGCTCGGGTATTTTTGTAATGTACAATTTTATATGAATTCCCGCGCCCGGAACCCTTCCGCGGCCGCCTCTATGTGGCCAGAGCATTAAGGAAACATAACATAGTTTACCGTAGATCTACTGAACTTAAGCATGAAACTAGAATATATTACATTGTTTCATTGCTGTACACACATTTAAATTATATAGAACAGACAGGGACGTGTAAAGGACATATCAATTGTAACGAGTTCTCGGGTTTTTGCTAGAGTTACACATAGCAAATGAAACTATTAATTTAACCAATGAAAAGCTCAGTGTCTTATTCACAACAAAATTTAGCACCATCTTGATTACAACGGTATAATATGTCAAAATATGAACTAATTTTTGACCACTACTCTTGAAAAACAACAATCATGTAATTTTTTTTTTGCAATGCATTTGAATGTTAATTAGCTTAAAGCGCAGACCACACCGTGAACGAAGTTAAGCTAACTTAGCTCAGCTCACGTAGTTGCATGTAATTTAGTCATACAGACACTCACCTCTCCCAAGGCCTAAAAGATAAATTTTGAATTTTTAAATGAGAGAGGCGATATTCCCCGGCATTGCCATTGCCTATTATTAACTTTTCTTTAATGTTGTAAACTAAAGATTACATGAACAGATACCATTGCAATGTGTCGGTGTGATATCTTGCTTGTGGTAGAGAGCTTGATCAGCCACTTAACGATGTTACGGTGCGACGTGCGCGGCAATAAGCTCATCAAGCCAACCACCAGCTCCACGCGCGCCGTACGCACTTCAGCGCGCTCCTATGAAAAACACAAAGATATATAATATCCCTCACCATCATCAGTGTAAAATAATTTAATTTTGCGCAATCTAACATTCATTAAACCGAGGCCGTGGGTTCGAATTCAGGCTAGCACCCCTGAGTTTCTCGGAATTTATGTGCGAAATTTAATTTGAAGTTTACCATGAGTTTTTTCGGTGAAGGAAAATATCGTGATGTAACCTACACGATGTAACCTACGAATATTCCAGCCGTCGGTAAATGTGTGAAGTCCCCAACCCGCATAGGGCCAGCGTGGTGGACTATGGCCTAAGCTCTCGCCTGAGAGGAGACCCATGCTTAGCAGAGGGACGTATATATGGGTTGATGATGTAACCTAGCATCCACAGTTATTTTAAGTTATTTGATAAAACTATTACAAAAATAATTAATGACACATATTTTAATAACATTTTAACACGACAGTAGCTTGTATAACACATATTATACAAGCTACTGTCTAGTATCTAAATCTATGGGTAACACTTTATCAATTATAAAATTATTCATTAAATAATCAATATTTGATTAAGCCGCTTACCAATCCATCCGGTGTGTGGCAAAGGTGCTGCAGAAGAACAGTGTAACCAGACAGTGCTGATTTCCCATATTTACTCAATAGCAACCCTGAATATGTGACATATGAGGCTCTCACAAGGTTCTGAAATTAAAGTAACAAAGTGTAATATTTGCATTTATGCAGTTCTAATGATCGCATTTTGCTTTTCACTGCCTATTGCAATTCTTGTACTTGCAACAAAATAAAAATACATATTTCAGTATACAGTGTGTCTCGCCATATTTAAGAAATTAATAATAGAAATAATGCTAAATCATGTAAAAATACGAAAAAAATTATCTGTTCAATATTCAGGCTAATTGTATCTAGTAAAGTTTTGCAAAATTGTCTCAAGTCGTATGCACCACCAAGGACAGTGACCCCGCCACCCGTTTCACCGAGCGATACATAATAGACTACAGAAACTGCTATCCTTTGCCTCAAGCACACTGTCCAGTATTATACCTATAGGAAGACTCCAATCTATGCTTGTTTCCTTGACCTGTCCAAAGCTTTCGATCTTGTATCGTATGACAGGTTATGGACAAAGCTGCAGGAGGAGACCAGTCTTCCAAGAGAGTTTATAGGTCTATTTAAGTATTGGTACTGTAACCAGAATAATTTTGTAAAATGGGGAGGCTCGATATCGAGCATGTACAGGTTAGAGTGTGGAGTGAGACAAGGTGGGTTAAGTTCGCCAAGTCTCTCCAACCTTTACATGAATCGTTTAATTGATGAGCTTAGCAACACCAAGGTCGGATGCTCGATAGATGGAATAATGGTGAATAATATTAGTTACGCGGATGACATGGTGTTGCTGAGTCCCTCAATAAGTGCTCTTCGGAAATTGTTAGGCATATGTACAAAATATGCAGAGGCTCATGGTCTTAGGTACAACGCGAGTAAGAGTGAGTTGCTAGTTTTTAAATCGGGTAGCAAAATCTGTAGCACTGTGCCCGAAGTTACTCTGTGTGGCACTCCTCTTAAAAGAGTCACCGAATTTAAGTACCTAGGGCACTGGGTCTCTGGAACTTTAAAGGACGATTTAGATGTTGAAAGGGAGCGTAGGGCGCTAGCAGTCAGGGGCAACATGTTGGCTCGTAGGTTTGCTAGGTGTACTGACGACGTGAAACTCATGTTGTTCAAGGCGTACTGTCAGTCATTTTATACATGTAGCCTAAGGATCAATTACACCCAAAAAGCTCTAAGCTCCCTCCGTGTGTTGTATAATAATTTATTCAGGATGCAGTTGAAGCTGCCTCGATTTTGCAGTGCATCGGGAATGTTCGCCGTGTCTCGCATAGATGGCTTTTCAGCTAACATGCGAAAAAGAGCGGCTTCTTTGTTGCGCAGGATTCGGGGCGGCGATAACAGCCTCCTGAGTATAATTGCAATTCATGTACAGGGTTGCTTCCTAGATCACTGGTCTAGGATGCACATTGGTTTTGTGGCCTATAATAATAAATTATAAAATAAGCAATTTGTAATACTAACCTTATTTTTAAGTGTTTTATTACTAACCCTTATGGACTTAGTCCGAAATAAAGAAATTTATTTATTATTTATTTTATTTATTATAATCTTTCTCGATTGCTTATTTATCTATTTATTAAATTATGATTATGTACTAGTATTGTTATAATTTATACATATTTATTTACATTAATTAGAAAAGTTGACTGATTTTTTTTTGTAACTTAGATTTGGTACTTGCTAACTTTAGGTTACATGAAAGCAGGTATTACAAAAAGTACCTAGCTCCACAGCTGGTGGCTGGCTCCAAACCGGAGCCAACACCAGCTATGCAGAGATTCGCACGTTAGTTTCGTTTCAATATTAGACTCCACAACTTTAAAAGCAGAAACTTCGACACTCATATCCTCCGCGTAAACTAAATGTTTCACATCAAGCCATAAGAATAGACACGCACTTGCACTTGATGGATTACCATGCAGGTTCTGGTGACACCTGGTAGCGGTTCTTTTTTGCACTACTAACTCTTGTTTACATACCAAACCACGTGGCATTTCGTGACAGACTAGAATAGAATGTATGTGGGATGTCAGCGTGACGTAGACGCAGTACGGGAAGCAAGGTCGACTGATCTACCAATCGCGCGCTCGATATGACCCCCAGCCGTCGCTACCCGCACCCCACCACCAAATAGATCTAAAATGCGTTTCTTTCTGCGCATTTAAGGTCATTGTTCAAAATGTTTGCAAATGCCGTGCAAGTCAATTCTTCTTTCTATTTATTCTTTTAGTGATTTGGGTTCAGTTTCGGATATAGAATGACCTTTGTAAATATAGCGAAAATGCAAGTCAACACAGTGTACAACTACTCTGTAAATAAATGGCAAAACTTCTGAATAGCTGACTTTTAAACTTGCTTGCTAAAGAGCTTCGTTGCAGTAGAGCTCCTTGTGAAAGAGTTTGTCCAGGGAAGTACTGCCACCTTACCTATTTCTGCCGCCAAGCAGTAAGTGAGTTTTATTGCGTTCTGTTTTTGAAGGGGTTACTTAGTATAATTAAAAAGTCCTACCACACTACATTTCCTCTAACCAAATGATACTTTGAAAAAAACTCTGTCCACGGATCTATGATCTTGTAAAATTTAATGGCAAATCGCAATCTGATTTTAATACATTGAAGAATCAGCACTTCTTTACTTTTTATGGCTCCATCATTATATGAATGATGATTATGCCAATGTCACGGTCGAAAGTAGAAAAAATAATTGGATTTTTCATTGAGAAAAAAACCATTGAGACCATTGACCTACCAATAAATGGACGAAATTGAGTTCGCGTTAAAATCGCATACAGAGCGTCAATCGCGCAATAGTCTTCGTTTGTTCGAGTAACAGCGCGGTTGTCAATCATGCAGTACCAATATATGCAGTACAAATAATAACTTGTAAAAATTACTGCAATAAAGTGTGAAAACAGGATTTTGTATCATATTTTCATTAAACAAATATATTGTGTTATCATAGTTGTCATTTAAAAGTGTTATTTTGTACAGTTTTATAGTAATTAATTTATATATAACTGAAACGTAAATATAAATCACAAAAGCACACGAAATAATGAAATAGCTAACTGTTCTTTATCTACTCATTGCATGCGCAAAAGATGGAAAGAGACCCATTACGTTGGTTTCAAGAAGCTTATATAAACTTCTTGGGCATTTTCAATTGTTCGAACCACAAGCGATTAAAATATTTAGAATAAAGAAACTGTAGAGTTGCTTTGATTTTAATCCTATTTTTAAAATGATTTTATAATTAAACGTTAGCAATAACTAACAAAATATTGTTGTACTCGTTTTACGGCACGGGATTACCTATCAGAAGTCAGAAAATACATTTGCCCGAAATAACATTAGCTCGAATTTTCATAATGTGTTTTTACGAAGATTACAAAACAAAGGCTAATTTTGTCTATGTAAAAAGCATCAAAATTACTCGAAAGCGTAACGGTTTTGTTATAAATCGGAATTACGGATATTTGAGTTTACGTTTAGTTATTAGAATTAGAATATCGGTACATTTCTTATAGTACACGCTTATTTTCACATTTGTAGTAATAATTGTATGTATGTATCTGCCCAACTCTTTATTATACCTTTAAGTGAATTTGTACAAAATTCCACATAATAATATACATAAAAAAATTAATTAATATTTACGAGAACGACTATTCCATTACTCTTGTGTTGAAGTAATTTTCAGTCGAAGCTAAATATAGTGCATTTTCTTCAGTTTCCAGTAGAAGCTGAATATGGTGTTTTTGGGCCCTTAAATTGTTGTAAGCAAATTTAGACAGTACTGCAATGACGTTACAATTTAAATTAAATGTTTTAGTTTTTTATATTTCGTTACATGTCACTAAGTTTGTATAGGTTAACCTCGGACATTTTTTTGTGTTTTTTGTATTAGACCCGATGTCCATTTGTTGGTAGGTCAATGATTGAGACAATAACCGGTGTTGACAAACAGCGGGTTCTTATAATTTTGAGAAAAATGAAAGGGAGACTGAAAATTTTAGAGTAATTAGAAGAGGGGATAATGTTCGACAATGATTGCAATATGGGGATCAAAGGGTGAGAGGAGAATTGAACGATTTTATAAAGAAATCTGTTGGCAAGGAATTGTCTGCGACGATGTAGAGGAGGCTCCAGGCATTCGACTTGGAGAGCATTTGTTGGTGAGGATTTCATGGCTCCTGTAAATATTCTCAGACATCTTGCTTGAATTCTGTCCATCTTAGCTAGGGCTAGCCTGTTACAGGGTCCCAAAAGGAAGCTGCCATAATAAAAATGACTTCTGATGATGGCATTGTACAGGAGCTTTTGACAATATGGGTGTGATACTCAGCGAACACCAGAGAGCGCACGGAAAACATTTACACATTTTTCTGGGAGGCGTCTCTTGCGGGAGAAAACTACAGCTGTACTTTTGGAGGCTGAAAGTGAGAGGCCATGTTTGAAAAGCCAAGAGTCGAGATAAAAAAGGGCAGAGTTGAGCCGGCCTTTAGTACCTGAGAAAGAATTGGAACATGCGTAGAGGGCGATGTCATCTGCATATTACAGGATTTTGCAGAAGCAGTTGACAGAGGCGTCGAAGTCGAACGTATACAAACTATAAAGGAGAGGACTAAGGACGGAACCTTGAGGCAAGTCATTCCAGACCATTCGGGAAGGGGTTGTGGAACCGTTAACACGGATTACGATAGAGCGGCCCATGAACATGTTACTAATAATATTGTACGTGTCTGTGATGACGTTCCCTTTAGGTTGTCTTGCGATACGATGCGGTAAGAGTCTGGGACTGAGTGCGGGCAGCAGGTAACCTAACCTAACTGTTTGGGGGGAGTGAGGGGGAGTTGGGGGAAGACGGCGGGAGCGTTGTCTTCTTAGCGGAGCTGTCAACGTCCGTGCAGGCAGGGCGTTTGCCCTTTTGGCCGCAATTATTAATCTCCATAGAACTAATAGACGGAGAGATAGACAGAGAATGGGGCCCCCTATAAGGGAGCTCCGCCTCATCATTGGAATCGGTGAACATAAGGGGAACTTACCGTTACGTTAATTAGGTACCACCACCAACACAAATCACGACACAATATTAAAGTCTTAGAGAGAAAATAATAGAAAAGTGAATTCAGTGTGGACACGTGTGTTAACCCTCACACCTTTCAACCGGGACCCCGAAAAATCATCAAAAAATCACCTTAAGTTTTCGCGATTGTCACACATAGGAAATTAAACTATTTTTCCGGATTTAAATCGCGTATATTTGTTTTTTCAGACAAACCAACATTTGTTTTTGCACACACAACAAATATACGCGATTTAAATCCGGAAAAAAATTTCATATCCTATTTGCTACACAGTAATAAAAAAAAATTTGCAGTACTTTTTTCGATTTACCCTTTTTTTTCAGATACCAAAGACGAGACGTACATGTGCAGCTGCTGTTAAGCGACACGTCTGCCGATAACAATTGCAGTGTCATTCAGAGCTTTAAATTCAGACATAAATTGACAAGTCTCATGTGTTTGTAATTTCACCAGCACCCTAATAAGCTCACATTACCGTTTCTCGGCAGAAGGTGGAAATGCCTCCCTGGAAGAACTCTTTCACATGGAGCTCTACTGCTACTAAATTGCGCAAAAATGAACATTGTTCTCTTGTGACTGGTAAAAATTTGAGAGTCATACTTATCATTTCTACATCAAATTTGAAAGCAAGTAATCAACAAATTGCCAATCAAATACAGCTATATAATAAAATCAATATCTCTATAAATGTTGATCAGCCATCAATTTGCTTTCAAATTCAAATTGAAATATTAAAAATTAATTGTCCCCATCATATAATAAAAAGTTTCCAGGAATAATTTTGGTGTTGCTTGCTTAATACCTCCGATAATATCTATTCATTATTGTACTATAAACAATAGCGGTCTGCCTTAATTTTATTTTGCACTATGTGGCTGACTTAGAGTATTGTTTTAACATAGGTGATACCAGACACATTCCTGAAAATCATGACGACGAGTGAAATGCACAACAATAGATTCTTAAGTCTTGCTATATTGCTTTATATGTTTTTACTACTATGTTATATCACTGAGGGTCATATTCCAGAACTCTACTCAATGCTCAAGTCAAGACTTGAGCAGACTTGAGTATGATTTCAAGCACTGGAAATACGACCCTAATGGCAAGGACTTGAGTATGATTTTCAGTGCTCATTGCAATACTCAAGTCCTGACTTGAGTATTGAGTAGAGTTCTGGAATACGACCCTTAATGTCTTGATGTGTAATAACTAATCAATAATAATGTTAAATAATTGTGTACTTACATTAGCATTCTTGGTGTCCACAGAAGCAGCCAACAGCTTTGGTAGTACAACTTTGAATAGTAAACGAATGACTACTGGGTTCGGCTTCATTGAGGACCCTCCACAGATCAGAATATCAATAATTTCATAAATCACTGAGGATATGAACACCAGCTCTATTTTATCTGTAATAAGAAAAATAATTACTAAATTAATACTTATTATGGATGGGTAGTAAAACAAATTTTTTTAATATGTTAATTATTAGTTTAAGTGAAATTATAATGTAAATGTAATGATCATATTTACTGCTGCAGAAACAGTTAAGGTGGCAGTACTTCCCTGGAAAAACTCTTTCGCTATTGCTACTTCAACCTTCTTATTTTAACAGTTGATATCGAAATAAATTCATGAAGCACAGGCGCATATTCTTTTTAAATTTTAATGTAAATTATTACCCTTTTGTAATAATTTACATTAAAATTTATAAAAAGTGTGAGGATGGACTTTACACCTATTGGAAAGTTTACTAAAATAATATTTTATAAACCTGCCTATGAAACAAGTTATATATTAAGTGAGCAAAACCAATATTGAGTTGAAAGTCAATACAGCCCCCCTAAGCCGAAAGGCGCTATCTATGTATAAAGAAGTTTTAACATCTTCAAAAAGATTTATTTTTGAAGGTGCAAAAACAAAATTTACAAAAAGTTGATTTTCACTAGAGAGTAACCGAGTACCGAATATTACTCGGTTTAACATTTACCTAGCCAAGTTTTCGGCCCAGTTACTCGGTTCATTACAACCAGAACGCGATGATCCTAAAAGTCCCATTGCTCTAGAATTAAACCAACATGTCAATGAAAGTTTATAGTCGCAAAAGCAGAGTCCTTTCTAATGGTGGGCAGGGCATAAAACAAGGTATCCAAAAGTGGCACAGTTAGCACAAGTGTTTTAGCGAGCGGTTATTTTCCGAAGCAGGTAATGTGTATGAAGAAAAAGGGAACAGACTGTTACTGAACGCGCAGAAAGCCTTGTATGCCTACATCATAACTTACCTTTGTTAAATTTTAAATATTAATAATGTAAACTTTCTTTTTAAATTACTAAATTACTACAAATTGTTACAATTGTCTAGATTTCTAGTAATAAATCTCTTTTGATTATATTAAATATATTGTTTACTTTATTATGTCTATAGCTATAATGCTTTATTTTAACCAAGTACTCTTCTTATGAACAGAGTTATTCAGTCAACTATGAGTAGTAAAAAAACGGCCAAGTACACTGAGTACCAAGCAGCAAACGAATACTCGCCGCATCTTTATTTTTCACAACACTAGCTGCTTGCAAATGAGCAACACTTTAGTGCAATGAGCTCTACTCTACCTTGAAAAAAAAAACAGTATATACTGAAAAGTTTTACATTACTTACCAACATTTAACCTGTTCACAATAGCACCTCCAGTGACATCGACCAAATTGCTTAGAATATCCTCAAAATTCATATCGCTAGGATTCAACTGCAGGCTTTCAATAATGGCTCGTAAGTCATTCACAAAAGGTTGTAATTCCTTTATCACTGAGTTTACTTCTTTGGCTAACTGTTTGGTATTGTAGTAGTTGTCTTCACGGTCACACATAGCCTTTGGGAATCCAAGACATGCGAGAGAGTGTGCAAACAGCTGGGAATGATATATATGGTATGCCTTGAACCCAGAAATGGACATAAACTTGAAGTACAATCGCGATGCCAGCAAGGCGTTATTGCGGTACTCCTTAGTAAGTACATTCTTAGTTCCATAATCTATATAGTACCCTAAGATAGCTAATAACTTCTGATGATCAACATGAGGAGACAAGGCAGCCCAGGATTTGTCTTCTTCGCTGTCAAAGCTCAACCAGATTTCGATAGCTTGCATAATGTTCCTAAACACGGACTGAATTTCCAGAGACTCCAATACACTTTCGTATTCTTGGGGCAAATCACTGAACTCCAGGAATTCTGAATAATAAATACTTTGCACCCAATCTGGATCTAGAATACCGAGATGGAGATCGCGGAGCTTTTCCACAATTTCCATCATCTTGAAACTTATACTTTAAGGCGTTTTATTTTATATGTAATTACTGCATATCCTCCATTTTTAATTCAGAAAAATAAAAACAAAAACACAAAAAATGAGTTCGACCGACGCTGCCAACGCTGTACGCATGCCATGGTCACAAAACACTATACTGGCCATGGTATCTTGGATAAATGAGGTGGAACATGGGTGGAACGTTGAAAATACTGCCATCTACTGTCGTTTTCAAGAAAAAAACTGCCGTGAACGTCAATTTTATCGTTTGAGAAGTGCAAGTAACACTCCTTGAGTATTACTAGATGGCCCTACTGTATGATAGTAAAATGTTGACAATATTTTTTTTTCTTATTTTTTGGCACTATGGCGTGCAGCCATGGGCCATATGCAATTTCCACTGAGTTGCCAATTTTTTATAATTCTTCCAAATAAATATTTTCTTCCTTCTTGAGACTCCAGGATATCATTGTCGTCGCAGTTGTTGTTGTAGAACTTTGATGTAGGTTTTTGGATATTAATATGAAGTTAAAAACGGGAAAAGGAAATCGCGGAATAAAAATAAAAGCAAACGGAATTTTGGAAAGGTTAGGGTAGGTAGTATATTATTTAAAGGTAAACCTAAACAATGAAGGATGGAAATTATGAAAGGAAATGGAAATGAGATGATAATAACTGAAAATAATGGTAATTGGATAAAAATAGTAATCTAAAATTTAATATAATTTTTCCTTATGAACTGAGCAATGCATTATAAACGGAATATTATACGATAATAATAAAGGAATAGATGTTGGTAAAGAAATTATAGATTGAAAAAACGAAGCACGGTCATATCCTGAACAGAAAAAGAAAAGGTGGTTCAGACTGCCAATGCCTTGCTCGCATTCGTACATTAAATCAGGTATTATAGTATTAAGTCTAGCAAGATGTTCAGATGAGCAAATATGTCCTAATTTCATTCTTGTAATGATTGAAGTAACACGTTTCTCAAAATGTATATGCGAAAACCATGGTTTGACAGGGATGTCGGGCTGTATATATCATGAAAATATCTACCCGTAGATATAATGCTTGCTTCCCACACAGTTTGCCAAGATTCTTTAAGATAAATAGCAGCTAGTATAGCCAAGTCATGAGTAAAGTTTCTATATAAATCTACATCGCCGTTATTTACTGCATCTTTAGCTAAAATATCGGCTCTCTCTCTCTATCTCTCTACTGAAAGACCCTTTGAATGGCACTTGTAAGGGGTTTTATACATTTGACAAATAATTGGGAGAATTTTACGTGTTTCAAAAGGGAATTTACACAATGACTGCAGAGCACTTTTGGAATCGGAAAATGTAAAAAATAATATCGTATTGAAAATGAAGAACACCCACTCCTACGGCCGAGTTATCTAGTTTCAAATAGTCTAGTTGCCATGTATAGAGAACAAATACCTAACAATTATTATATATAATTGAAACCTTTTCATTGAAAAAAAAACCGACCCCAAAAGTTTGGCTATCGGATTTTTTCGATTTCCGTGGAATCCCCTCATCAAATTTTGACTTCTTGGTGACAATGGGACTGCTAGGGACTCCTTTGAACATTTTATACTTTTTTCTGGTTGTAATGGTGACGGTGATTTGTTGATTACTTGTATTGCGTTAAGTGAAAAGTCGACGTTTAAACGAACCCGGACCAGCATCGTCGGTATATCAGAGACCACCTCGAGGTATATATCCTTTGAAACAAAACAAATTTTAAAAAATGGTCCACAATTGATGTAGAAATTAGTGAGTACACTGACATTGGATCTCCTCATCAGATTTTGACTTGGCGACAATGGTTTCACACTTTCAAACAAAAAAGAATTTTCAAAATCGGTCCAGAATTGATGGATATAGTCCATTGGAAAATTTATTAAGATTATAAAGATTTATAAACTCTTACAAAGCTTTGTTAATTTGCAACATAACGTCACACAATGCAGTTGGAGCTAATTGTGAAAAACATAATGCAGAACTATTGCATTCTCCAAAAAAATTATTAACTGAAATCGTACCCCAACCAGACCCAATTAACTTTGAAATAAGTTATGTTAACTTTGAAAGAAGTTATGAACACTTGTGTATAAAGGATGCTGATGTAAATAATTTAATTATGAATCCCGAAAAAAAAAAGAAAAATGCGCAGCAGTAGCATATTGCAGTGGGTGGTTAATACATCTTTTAAAAAAACAGAGTGTATAAGGATTGTCAAACCTGCAAATAAGATCTGGAATCAGAGCAGATGCAAGATTTTCATCAATACATCAAAATAAAAGAGTATGATGAAACAAAAACGTGGCTTTGTTACCCAAGTCGTGAGGCATTCGCATATTTTTTTCATAGCGGAGAATAGTGACAGATCCGTTAGAAACTAAATGTACAAAGAAAACTAAATACAAAGAAAATTGACGACTATTTAGAAGTCATAGTTAATTGTAACTGAACACACACATATTGCATTTGAATTTCAATTTTGTAACTTGTCCTAGTCATAAGAGCATTTTGGTAAAATTAATGCTTAAAAAACAATTTTATTTTTTATTAATAATTGGTGCAAGGAAATTAATCACCTGCTATTAGGAAAAACCACTTTTTAGGATGAAAGTGATGAAATGAAAGTGGCAGTGCATAATTATTATGTAAAACACTTAGAATAATAACGCATAGAAACCTAGCCCGCACACGCTAAGTGAGGCAAGTTAGAGGGTTCCAAACGCGTCCCAGGAGCGCGCGGGCTGTTAGTGCTCAAGGTCATATTGCACCGCGAACAGCTCCAAAATTTTTTGCTAAAAATGACGAAATGTGCGGTAAATGGGTGTAAAAATACAACAGACAAACAAAATAGACACTAACATCGCATTCCACAAGTAAGTAATGCGTTTCAACTCATATTTTTATGTAAATATTCACTAAAACAGAAAAATAATTTCGCGGCAACAAGATACGAAAGTGTTGCAAAGTAACGAATTTTTTTTCTCCCCATTTTGCTATTCTGTATCAAAATAATTATATTACGTAAATTTTAGTGGTGCCTGTAATTTAGATTTATTTGCGCATCTTGAACTAATATTTACTTTAATAAACATTAAATGTTTTCGTTAACTCCTGTAAGTGATTGGGACACTTAATTATTTTATAATACTTTTAACGGCTCTGCGTTCATGCTTTATTGAATAATTATTTATTTTAATTTTATTTGAATTGGAGCACATATTGCAACAAATTTACAGTATATATTTGTTTCTACTATAGTGTTGGCACCACCAGTACAACTTTGATAGCTTATTATATGTCTTTCTTTTCGTAACTCAAGCGAAATATTTTATATTAAAATTCAGAGCATTCTTAAGCGATTTTTTAATCTATTTTAACAGTTATTTTCTTTAATGTTTGCTTATGGCATTTTCGGTTTTAGGTTTCGAATATGGCACTTATTTCTAAATCCAAGATGGCGGGCGCAATTTTTCGAATAATGGCAAGTTGGGTATCGTTTTCGAGATGTTTGGGAATGTTCAATACAAATATGGGACTCATTTTTAAATCCAAGATGGCAAACACGACAGTTCAAATAAAAGCAATATTCGTAATGAGCACCCCCAAATACCTCGAAAACGATACCCAACTTGCCATTATTTGAAAAATCGTGCCCGCCATCTTGGATTTACAAATAGTGCCATATTCGCATTGAGCATCCCCAAATACCTCGAAAATGATACCCACATAGCATTTTTTTGAAAAAATCGTGCCCGCCATCTTGGATTTAGAAATGAGTGCCATATTCGTAATGAGCATCCCCAAATACCTCGAAAAGGATACCCATATAGCATATTTTGAAAAATCGTGTCCGCCATCTTGGATTTACAAATAAGTGCTATATTCGTTTTTCATCGACAAAACCGAGCATATCTGTAGGCACCTGATCGACATTGTCGATCGACAGTAACGATAGATACAATTTCCCCACTTTTGAGGGAAATGTTATTCCATGGCATCATTATTTGTATATTTGTGTGCGTGCCGACGAGCGTAGTTACAAGTTGCTTACGCCTACATGAATTTGGTTTTTGCCTCACTTGTGACAGTTCGTTTGATATGAAACTATCATTCTATGCGTTATTATTCTAAGGTAAAACATAAATTACATAAAAATAAATAAAAATGTATGTGATGAACGATACTTATTTTCCTTTCCTTTATTCCCATTCATATGAAAAATGCATAAATTATTGTTTTCAAGGTTTTTGTAGCCTTGAAAACAATAATTTATTATAATATCATAAAAACTAATAGGAGCTAGGTACCCTGCATACTGGTTTATAGGTACTATCTATAAATTTACATATAGTGTGGTATAGCTTTAGTTCATGAAATGCCCACTAGATGGCAGTACTTTCGTTACCTCGAGATAGGCTGGAACCTATCTATGAGGGTATGTTGATTTAGGACTACGTTGACAGTTGCAATTATTTTCATTTCATAGCAGCGTTGCTAATGCCAATTGTTCACAATCCCCAAAAATTACGGTTAAAATCCCCAAATTTGGGGAGAACAAAGTTCATATTCCCCACATTTCGAATTTCATTATTTATTACAAATACATACCTCGTTTAAAAATAATTATAATAAACAATGAAGAAACTCAAATTGTAACCATCCGTTACGTTTGCTGTGAATGTAAACAGAATGTAAAATGTAAAGCAAATTATAAAATTACATGACCTCAAATCGTTTTTTTTTTAATGAGATTCAGCATTAGTCAAACTTTAAAAAAAAACATTTTTCTTTGCCTTACAAAATTAAGCAACTTAATTATTTTGTTGCGCATTTGGTGACACTATGGTTAATGTTGGAAAAAATCATTGAGTTGACGAGTGCCGAGTGGTAAGTTGTGGTTTGGAAGTACCAACTGCTCGGCTTTGTTTATCAATAGCTGATTTCGAGTTTCTTCACACCCCGGGGCCGTCCCAGGCCCGTGCCTAAGTGGGAGAAAGGATCGGGAACTCAACACTCACCGAATGGTCATTTTACAAGAGTTAGTATTTAACCGCTTACCAAAAAAGAAAGTTGTGACCAAATTTGCCACTTCCTCAACAAAAGTACCGATTGCACATCGAAATATGTACATACATCAAAAGAAAATTAATTTAACATTATGTACCTACTAAAATTAAAGCATAACATTTTATCGCAATGCATATCTAACATCTAAATACATAGGTATCTAATATTTCTGGCATACAACAAACGTATGACCACAAATTTATGAGAAAAAACATAACTATTTCACTGAAAGGTATATCAAACTATCGAAATGAAACACCATTTTATATGACATAATGGCCTAATTGTACAATTTGTCCAAAACAATAAGATCAACAAAAAAAATTTAAATTGCACACAAACATTGCAACAAAGTCTAATGCTTGAAAATCGTAGTATTTTTTTTGTATTTGCAAGTAAAAGTTCAGTTTAGTTCCAATATAATAATAATATAATAATAATAACGCACACACTCAACATATTATAACGTTCCGTTTGTTTGTATCGTTTACTTTTTCAACGCTTCGCTATTACATATTCTTTACATAATATTGGTAAACTAGTATTGGGTCATGGGAAAATTTCAATTTCGAAAAAAATCATATTTTTCAGGAAAATAAATATTTTTTCGGATATTTTTCCAATAATTTTCCTTTAATTTTCCACAGTTGACACCATCAGTCAAAAGTTCAAGTTCTGAACGAAACGATGAAGCAATTAAAATTTTAGAAGTTATCTTTCGGTGTTGTGATGTCGTTTTTTTCTATAGCCAGTTAAACAAGTTTGTTTTAAAATTCACGCTAAATAAAACTTCAAAGTATATTTCTAAACTTAGAACATCATATGAACATTCAAATTATATTTTTTACCAATTGTTCGGGAATTTTTCGAAAAAATTTCTACTATTTGTAATTTTCCGGAAAATTACTCAAAAGTAAAATTATGTCACACTCTATTGGGGCCCATTAATTGTCTTGCACTTCAGCCTATCCGGTCGTCCACCGCGCGTTGCAGGACTGTGAAAGTAGTTGCACGCTGCAACTACATTCATAGTCCTATAATACTGTTGGGTAATTTTCGGGGAAATTTCAAATAGTGACACTTTTTCCAAAAATACCTAAAAAATTGGAAAAATTTGAAAAATTGGACAAAAAAAATTTAATAAATTGGAAAATTGGACTCAAGTCAGGACTTGAGTATTGCAGTGAGCACTGAAAATCATACTCAAGGCCTTGCCATTAGGGTCGTATTTCCAGTGCTGGAAATCATACTCAAGTCTGCTCAAATCCTGACTTGAGCATTGAGTAGAGTTCTGGAATATGACCATTAAAATGATTTCACAGCGAAAAAAAACCTTTAAAATGGTTCCATCATTTTCGTTCAGTAACTTCAACTTAAAACAGGCGTCAACGTCAAATTCGGAAAATTAGAGGAAAAATTTTGGGAGAAATGTTTGATTGATGATTTTTTCAAATATTAATAATTTTTCCATGATCAACACTAGTCCAACATCCGCGGCGGACGGCGGTATGACAGGCTGCAGTGCAGCATGATGTACAACTTACTAGGGATTCTAACGCATGTGATGATGAATGGGCCTTTTATGTTCTTCTCTATACAAACCATACGCAAAATGGCGGGATTTTCAAGTTTTTTTACAAAGATTAATTTCATTTGAAGTATATTATGAAGTAAATACGAAGGAAGAAATAGTGATGAAGAAAGTTAGAAAATATTCCTTATTTTAAACCAAATTTTAGAAGAGTTTACCCTGAAAATTCCTATAATTACGAATTCAAAGTTTTTGTTCAAAGTGACAATAATGTGAAATAAACGATACAAGTGAAAGTGAAAACATAAATATTGACTCACACCCATCCGCTTATTAAAAGACTATTTAGAAAGCCTAAACAAGATAACTAAGTTATTAAGGAGAAAGTGAAAACATAATGTAGAACCACAATAGAAAAATACTTCCCGATAACGAAGATATGGCACAATTACTTATATTCAAGCCAAAACTCTTAATAAAAAATACAAACCATGTGTTTTTGACACAAACTATTTTTATGACATTTCGTTAGAGAATCTTGTATTAGTAGTTTGTGGTTAGAGAACATGGTTTATTTTTGATTTTGAAACGCAAAGTTATGGGAATTAACTAAGATCAACATTAAAATAAACTTATTAATAATCAAAATGGTGTATAGAAGACCAGTTTCTTGGTTCCTAACTGAGTCAGGACGTAAGTTTTCCTTCGCTGTCGTTACCGGTACTGGACTAGGGTTTACTGCTGCTAAATGGGCTCCACATACATTACTAATCGATAAATACAAGGAATTCGTACAATACTATAGGTAATTTATAGTGCTCCGTACACAAATCTTTTTATAAAATTGTATTTTTCGGTGATGAATGTACCTTAAACTTACTCTGTTGACAGTAATGGAAAACCGCAAGAATTGTCTAATGAACTCCAGAAGCGCTGTGAACAATGTCTCGACATTCTAAAGTTGCCCGATGTGCACAGACGCCTAATAACACCGTTCAGCGTTTACGGATATGACCTATTCCATGCAGGTAATTTACTAAGAAATGTCGTAGTTTTTGTTGTAATTTCCCATAGTTCTTTTAAATATGTTGCGATGTTAGGCGATTAACACACTGCACCGCGCCCCGCGACGGAGCGCGGAGTTGCGTTTTTTAACGTTGTACTGAAGTACCTTAGTTTGTATGGAAAAAACGCGCCGTCGAACACACTGACAACGCTTCTCCGCGCGGAGGGGCGCAGCGAACCGCAGGGTATAGCGCACACTGCCCCCGCTGCTCCCTACACTCTGCACACTGTTCCCTAACAAATAATTAAAGGATTCAGTTGACATTTGTGTGTAGTTGAAAAATTAATCTTCATATTTTCTTAAATCTTTGTAATGAACTTAAATGTTACCTTCAGTGTCTTTTTATTTGAGCAAACAAAAACAATCGACGTTATAACTAGTAGCACCCTGAATGAGTTCTGTATTATTAACCATTCTTGTCAAAGAAGCAATCACTATGGCGATCAACTACGACGCGAGTACTTTGAGTGGCGCGGGGCCGCTAGACTGCTGCCCCCGCGCAGATTGTGTCTCCGCCACCGCGCGCATGATTCGGCGCCGTGCAGTGTGTTAATCGCCTTACTGAAAGTCCTTTATGTGGTTTATGTTTTAAGCACTGATTTATTGTAATTTTCATTATGTCTGCAAATTTAACCACTACTTTTGAAATTATTGTTACCTCCATATTCCATAATCTAAGAAGCTAACAAAATTTAATTATGTGGTGCTTTAATTCTGAGAAGTAATTAAATTAGTTTTTTTTTTTCGAATATTTAGTAACCATCTGTGATCAATCTTTGATCCATAAACTGAACTGTTTATTGTAGTTTTAAATAAAGAGTCTTGTAATGCTTTTCTTCATTAGTCATTACTCAGCTGATTGTGTTCTACTGATTCAACTTTCTAGTATCCTTGACAAGATCAAATTGCTGGTCGAAGTGACGTAAAGCTGCATAGTTCTTAAAAGCTGCCTTAACAATAAGTTTTTTTTTTTAACACACTTATAGTCCCGCACTAGGGAAATCCTGTATGGCGGGTACTATGGACACATACATAGACAACCACAAATTACACCCAAGGTCATGAAAGAAATAAATGTAGGCCATACAAATATTTCTCCCAGCCCGGGAATCGAATCCGGGACCTCTGCGTGACAGTCCAGTATGGTAACCGTTCGGCCATGGAGGCAGTTTGTGTGACACTTATTTTTATGTGTACATATAATTCTTTTGAATTTTTTTGTAGGCAGCTCGAAATCCAAATTTGGAGTAGCTGTTGGGATTCCTGTAAACTTCACTTACAAATCAATTGCTGATATTCTAAACGATAATAATAATATACAAGTGAGTACATCCTTATTTCAGGATCTGAGTAATGCAGGCTTATCTTTTAGTTACAAAGTACATTAAACTGAACCCTACGTCCTAAGTACCAAGGTGAGACCAGCTTGGAGTATGCAGAATAGCATAGGTATCCTAAAAATATTTTTTTATCCGAGCAACCCTATAGGGTTCATCATCAGCCTATTGCAGTCCACTGCTGGACATAGGCCTCCCCTAATGCACGCCATTTCGCCCTGTTCTCGGCTTGACGCATCCATTTCCTGCCAGCAATCTTCCGCAGATCGTCACTCCATCTGGCTGGAGGGCGTCCCACACTACGTTTGCCAAGTCGTGGTCTCCACTCAAGAACTCGTTTACCCCAGCGGTTGTCGGTTCTTCGGCAGATATGTCCAGCCCACTGCCACTTCAGCTTGCTTATCCGAAGAGCTATGTCGATCACTTTGGTTCTCTGTCTGATAACCTCATTACGGAGTTTATCTTTCAGAGAAACTCCGAGCATAGCTCGTTCCATAGCTCGCTGAGCGACTTTAAACTGGTGGACTAGCCGTATCGTGAGTGTCCACGACTCAGCTCCGTACGTTAGAACTGGTAGGACGCACTGGTTGAAAACCTTTGTTTTTAAGCTCTGCGGGATGGGTGACGAAAAGACTCGACGGAGCTTCCCAAACGCTGCCCAGCCAAGCTGAATCCTCCTCCTGGCCTCCTTCTCGAAGTTATTTCTACCTAACTGCAGAATCTGCCCGAGGTAAGTGTATTCGGAAACAACTTCAAGAAGGTGGCCATTGACGCAGATGGGTCTCGGATCAATGTGGTCATTGATCATGACTTTGGTTTTATCAAAGTTCATGCCAAGACCAATCCGCCGCGAGGCGGATGCTAGGCTGTTCAGCATCTGATCCAGTTCTTCCAGCGATTCTGCCATTAGGACTATGTCATCTGCAAATCGCAAGTGTGAGATGTACTCGCCGTTTATGTTAATGCCCATCCTTTTCCAGTCCAGCGTCTTAAACATATCCTCCAATGCAGCGGTGAACAGTTTCGGGGATATGACATCCCCCTGTCTCACCCCTCTGCGTAATTGGATAGGTTCAGACTGCTGGTCCTGTACTTGGACACTCATGGTAGCAGCATCGTAAAGACATCTCAACACTTGTATATAACGATAGTCCACTTGGCACCGCTGTAAGGATTCCAGGACAGCCCAGGTTTCGACAGAGTCAAAGGCCTTCTCATAGTCCACGAAAGCTAAACACAGGGGCCGATTATACTCTTCGGACTTCTGTATAATCTGCCTCACTGTGTGTATGTGGTCTATGGTGCCATATCCTCCCCGAAACCCGGCCTGTTCCGGTGGCTGAAACTCGTCGAGTCTTCTTGCGAGGCGATTCGTGATGACTCTAGAAAACAGCTTGTAGACGTGACTCAGGAGTGAGATGGGTCGGTAGTTTTTCAGTAGAGTTTTATCTCCCTTTTTAAAGAAGAGAACTACAATACTCCTGTTCCACGCCCGTGGAGTTCTCCCGCAGTGAATGACCAAGTTAAAGAGCTTCTGAAGTTCCTGGATAATAGGAACTCCTCCAGACTTCAAAAGCTCCGAAGTAACTCCGTCTTCACCGGGGGCTTTTCCATTTTTAAGCTGTTTTAGAGCCAACACGATCTCGTCTTGACTGATTTCTGGCAGGTCGTCGGTATAGTGGCGCGTCAAGGTGGCTCTCAAATCGTGATTGTCACGCTGGACCCGAGGAGCATTTACAGCGTACAAACGGCCATAGAAGTCCTCTATCTCGTCGAGTATCTGCTGCCTTGACGTAACGGTTAGGCCATCGTGCGTTGTAAGCTTCGTCAGGTGGCTCCTTCCAAGCTGCTGAGTGAATACTTTGGACCCTCGGTTTCGCTCTATCGCCTCCTCAATGAGGCGTGTATTGGAGCTCCGAAGGTCACGCCGTACCATCTTCGCAATCTGCTTGTTTAGGTATGACCTCTCTGACGAAGTGTCCTGGATGTCATCGCGTCTTTTCGTCATAAGTCGCAGAGTCTCATCCGAGAGTTTAGACTTCTTTCCCGTACGCTGCAATTGACAGAATTTGATGCCCTCGCTTCTCAGCGTCCCAACCACGCCTTGTAGGGCCTCGTCAACGTCCTCGGTGGGTTCCAGCTCGACGAATCTCGCTTCGAGAAGTTCATGGAACTTCTCGGAGCCCGCCATGATCTGGAGTGGATTAGGACGGAGCGTGGACTTCATCAAGCGGCTTCTTTCAAGTTTGACATCGATATTCAGAGAGCCTCGTACAAGTCGGTGATCAGATCCGGTGCTAAACCTGTTGATCACTGAGACATCTCTGAATATGTGTCTCTTGTCCGTCAGGATGAAATCGATCTCATTTTTAGTCACAGCGTCGGGGCTTCGCCAAGTCCACTTCCTTTGAGGCTTCTTCTTGAAGAACGAATTCATCAAGAAGAGCCCCTCGTGCTCGAGGAAGTTGACTAGCGTTTGCCCCCTGTGATTCCTTACTCCATAACCATGCGGGCCGACTCGAGACTCGTCAAGATTTGGGAATCCCACTTTAGCGTTAAAGTCCCCCATAACAACGTTGAAGTGAGCCTTGGTGGTGTTGTGTAAGGCTTTCGATATGTCCTCGTACATATCTTCTACATCGTCATCCGAATGTGTCGAGGTCGGTGCGTAGGCCTGAATGATCTTCAGGCAATACCTTTTTGATAGCCGAAGGATCTATAGGGTTGCTAGACTAAAATCTTCAACATTTTATACTGGAAATATAAAATGTACACCAACCACATACATTGATTAGCATATAGCTAATAGTTAAAGAAAATGAAAAACATTTAAAGCACAAAACAATGAGATCAAAATTTATAATAAAATTCACAAAACAGTACAAGAAAAAGACAAGTGAAATTAACCTAAAGGCCAAACTATTGTGTCTGACAACTGATTACTGCATACAACAAATGCAAATCATTTAATTTAGTTGCAGTAGAGCTCAGTGTGAAAAAGTTTGTCCAGGGAAGTACTGCCACCTTACCTTCTACCTGCGTACCTTACCTGCCACCAGTAACGTGAGCATTACTGCATTCTGGTTTGGAAGGGTAAGGGTGCTATGGTGAAATTACACACACATTTAACCAGTGTTGGACGTTAATCAACTAAACGATGAGATATTTAATTGGCTAAAACATTAATTGCAATTAATATAAATTGCAATTAAACCATTGCACATTGCAATTAATTTTAATGAAATTGATCTAAGTTAATTGTGGTTCGCAATTAAGTCACTTGCAATTTTTCTTTAATTGTCCGAAGAAACAATTAAAACTAACAATTAAATCCGGAACTACCGAATAAAAGCGTCAACTATACAATATACTCTGCGATGAAATCAAAGTCTGAAAATGTAAACGTAGATGCCTTTGAGTGCCAGCAAGTGTTTAGTGCCTTCGAGCGCCCGCGAGTGCCTTCGAATGTTTTCGAGCGTCCACGAGTGCCTTTGAGTGCCCGCGAGTGCCTTTGAGTGCCTTTGAGTGTCTTTGAGTACCCGCTAGTGCCTTTGAGTGCCCGCGAGTGCCTTTGAGTGCTTTTGAGTGCCCGCTAGTGCCTTTGAGTGCATGCAAGTATCGGCGAGTGCCTTTGAGTGCCCGCGAGTGTCTTTGAGTGCCCGCGAGTGTCTTTGAGTGCCCGCGAGTGCCTTTGAGTGCCTACGAGTGCCAACGAGTGCCTTTGGGGCTTTGCAATTCAAAGCTCTGAAAGGAACTGCAACTGTTCTACTAACTACCTGTTCGTCCCGTCACTTGGTATTATAAAAAAAAACTTAAAATATCTCCGCCAGTGGTCCTCATCGACTTTCACCGCAACATTATACGGACGTAGTTTGTGGTGCCACTAGGGATTCTGGCAAAACCCGATTAGTCAAAGTTGCAGTCGTTTGGTGTAGAAAATCTGCATTAAACGTGTGCTTCCTGTACAAATAGATTCCAGCTGACTCAATAAGATTTTGGCCTATGAAACTGCTTCTTCTCCACTAGGGAATACGTCCTATACAAATGAAGAACATGAAGCGTTGCTAAATGTGTACGTAAAAAATTTCTTCAACTTCGTTGACAGGTGCGCCCTTCTGACACAGATGGTACACATTAATGCTCAGGCAGGCCACACGGAGGCAAAGTTTCAGTGTGCCAGGATTCATATAAACTCGTACATTACAAAAATTCCCGCGCCCGGAACACTTCTGCGGCCGCCTCTGTGTGGTCAGAGCAAAATACTCGTGTACCTAAAATTTTCTATATGTAGATGAGTTAAAGGTAGAAAACTGTATGGATTTTTTCGTATCTTACTACATATATTCACGCCGATCAAGCCGCCGCGTCACCGGCGCCGATCGAAAACCATCACATCCCGCCGCCGACGATTTTATGAATGATCGGCCTATTGTAAAAAAATAGTGCAGAGTGTCAAAAATATTTAGATCATCATTTTTTTTTTCTACACTCTACAATTCATCCATTAAAATGGATTTTGTGTGGTGTAAATTGTTTCGGCGTTTGTGATACTTTAGATTTGCGGATAAGGTCGCTAGAATGCGATCTCTAACCATTTGATCATCTCTACCATACCAATGATATTATACTTATCCCTACTATGAATTACGTTCATATGCCTTGATTTTTTTTCTCCCCAGGTAAATCAGAAGACAGTTGACTGGGAATCAGAAGTTGGTAAGAAGTTAGCAAATGCCCTCATTTTACCTGAGAAGGTGCAGCAGTTTGCACTATGCAGAGAAATACTTATGTGTCTCAACCACAAAATTCTACTTGAGGCTACCTATCCATTTACTTGTATGTTTTTGGCTTACAACGTTTCAACGTATTTAAACAACAAACTTAATTTATACAAAATGCCTACAGCCACTAGAGGTATTCTTTACTCTATTGTTGGATTATTTAGTTTGGGGACATACTTTTTAATGAAGGATATGACAGAAGTGTACTATGAAACACAAGTTGATAAAAAATTATGTGAACTAGGGCCAGACTTCATTGAAAGTGGTGTAATCTTTTATGATAAGTTGTTACAACGTAATCAAGCCCTAAGAGAACTTATGGGGAGTGAAGGAGAGAGAAAATATTCAAAATTAGGCAACGAAAACTATTTTCTCAGACAACCTCGCATGGCTCTCATCCATAGGAAACAGTTCTTCGAAGAACGGTTAAAAGGAGCTCGCAAAGACTCTGAAGGTGTTGATGATGGCTTTACATCAACATAGACACGTTTACGATTAGTAATTAATTATATTATACTATAGTTGTTTGTACATAGAGTAGTTGAATAAATGTTGTGCATTTATTTTACATTGATTTTTATTAAGTCTAACAAATAATTATTAGTTAGTCTGTCTGTTAGTAGTCTGATGTTGTATACTCTAAGGTCTGCTATTAGAGATTGCAATTTGCTTAATCGTCAGTCAACATGAATATGTTAACAAGGGTCACCTTAATTAGAATGTCTTTTTAACTAAAATGCCATTGTTAGGAATGAAAGTGTGGCATCCAGAGAGATTAAAAATAGGAGCGGAAAGCGACAGGGATGCTTGTGATCATCTACACTCTTTAACATTTACGCTGATGCGATCGTGACGGAAGCCCTGGAAGATCTTGTTTGTAAGATTAAAGGACGCCTCCCTGTCCACATAGTATTCATAAAAATGGACGTTCAAAAAAATCGTCGAAAGGGTGAAAGAGTGTAGTGTCAAGGCCAGCCTTAGAATGAATGTAAAGAGATGAAATGCAAATATCTCGACACGTGGTTATCTGACAATTAGGATAGTAAAAATTAAATTAAAACCGCATTGAATTAGCCTACCAGTGAGCTTAGCTTGAGCCTAAGGCTAAGCCTGCTGGAGTCTTTTTAACACCATGAGGAAAGTACTATGTGTGCCGCCGTGTTATGATTCAGCTACGTGTTCGACTTCTATAGTTATTACATTTGGTAAATGTTTGAACCCTGGACAATAAAAGTTCATCTCAGGAAACTTATAGAGGCATTCAAAATCCCTTCGGTACAAATCATCTACTTTCCTGATTGCTCCACTTTCACTATTCGTCTACTTTCACGATCGGTCCACTTGTTTTTCCCGATTCGTCTATTTTCAATTTCGTCTACTTTTCTGTTTGGTCTACTTTCCCATGCGGCTAGTTCGAATGATGATACATGATAGATGAGATGATACATCTCGTGGAATCAGAAAGTTTCCAATGAGCCAATCCTAGGACTGGTGAGGTTAGACAGAAATGAAAGCTTACAAAGACAAGACAGAAGACAGACAGACTTGCTAGACACAACGGATAGGAGCCCCTGCAATTTATGATGATGAGGGAAAAAACGCTAGTAGAAGGAACGCTGGTCGTAGAAAAAGCATATGAGAGTGGCCAAGTTGTGTAGCCTCGCCAGAGATAAGCACAGATATGCTGAGCTGACTGCCAACTTTAAAATGCAGCACCTAATTCTTACCACATTTAATTAGGTACGTACATTCATTACAAATGTATGTTCTTCAATACTACCGACTCTCAGTAAAATATTTAAAAAATATATTTTTAATCCGCTGTGCAGGTAGACATTTTTTAGAATTAATTGGGGTCAAAACGAATGCTGATATGGAATGAAAGAAACATAATAATATTATTTGATGCATGGGAAGACTCAGATGATCATATAGTTGTATTTTGTGACCTTTTAAGCCGTTTGATTCTGTGCAGGCTGTGCAGCATGATGCTTTGATCAGGAAACTTCGCCGTTATGTTGTGGCGACCCTGACATCGACCTTCTGTAATCATATTTGAGTAATGGGGTCCAGAAGATCGATGTTAACCACAAATTAGAAAGATATAGTAGGAGATCATCAGGGTGTGCAATTAGCATTAGCGTCCCTCAAGGTTCCATCCTAGGTCAATTCTTACTTAGGCTCAATTTATTATATTGAGGCGGAACGGAAAGGAAGCGAATTTTTGTAACGATATTGTTACATTAATGAACTTTAAACAAAAATCATGTCGCCTGATTTCTGCAGAATTCTCGCGCATGTTCGTAAATGCTCGGTCACTCGCGAGAATTCCGCAGCTGCCGTCGGCGACGTCTGGCGAATCTGCGGGAAGCAGCGCGAAGGCAGGCGCAGTGTGACGTCATACGTCGACGAAATACAGCCTCAAGGCGCGGTCGCTGGAATGCTCGAGCATCCCAACGACCGCACGCGCCTTTCTCGCGCAGCGAGGCAAAATTGAGGCTTCCATTCCATTCCGTTTCGCCGCAATGTAAATTGAGCCTTAGCCTTTTATGGAAGGTATACAAGGAATAGCATTGTTTGTAGATGATGCTTTCTTATTACTTGTTGTTAAACGGCAACAATGATCCTATGGCCAGAAAATAAAAAGTAACGAGAATGGACACTCTCCGCCCCTCTCTAGCTTTAGATACTGCACGCCCCGCACATTGACGGTCACATTGACTGAATTAAGACAGCTTTCATCATCGAGTATATAGTTTTCATCTTTAGAAACCTAGCCCGCACACGCTAAGTGAGGCAAATTGAAGCGCTCCCAATGGGCCTACACGAGCGGGCGGGCCGTCAGTGTTCAAGGTCAACTTGTACCGCGAACAGCTCAAGAATTTTAGCTAAAAATGACGAAATGTGCGATAAATGAGTGTAAAAATACGTCAGACAAACATAAAATAGATAATAGGGGTTAAAGTATGAAATTGCCGATTTGTACTGAAAATCTA